AATATAATTATTAGGGTTAATTATAGAATTATTTCCTAATTTCACATAATTAAATAATTAACTTCCTTAATTAACGGTGCGGGTTCTTACAGAGGGTGCCTTGGTCGATGTTCTGGGAACACGCCTTGGTTTGAAACCCGTAGGCTTATATGCCGAGCCAATAGGCTAGACGTTGCGTGATTTTGGCATTGACCATTCCAGTCGTATTTTGTATCCCTATGCTCCCCTCTTTCACTAAATCCCTTACTTTATCCCGTTTTCAGATATTATGTTGTATTATTTATATGCATCGAAGTGAGCCATTGAGCGGAGTATTCTCCAGAACCTCTGGGTTACTGAGATATATTCGTATATCTTACCCCGCTTTAGGGGCTTTATTTCAGGAGGTAATAGTGGTGTTGGAGCGACAGGCAAGAAGCCCGTAGGATGATTTGGACGTAGGACTTTTACGTATTTTGCATTTTGGCGGCCATTGAGCCTAGGCTAAACTTAGGGCATGAACATTGCCTATGGATTTAGGATGATTTATATTGTCATATTTGTTCATGCCATCTTTTGCCTAAGTCTAGTGGCATATGTATTATGTTTCATTTTGAGGTTTGTTTATTTATGTTGTATTTGGAGACTTTATGGTTTATGATGTAAATTGGAGAATTGTAATTATTACATTTGGATCTTGTGTAATATTGAAGCATATGTAATATGATGAAAGGGCAATAGGCCTATTTTAGGATTATGATTATGTGTATGTTTAAATAATGCATGCAAATGGATCTAGGTGATTGAAATATGTTAAGTTTTAATAATGTAAGTAATGTGATATGAATTGAGTAATTGGATATAAATTGTGAAGGGTTGTAAGAGCACCAAGGCATTGCTGGTCCTTGTGTGCCATCCAATGATTTATTAGGTACAATTGAGGTTGTAGAACACATTTGTAAATTTGGGATTTTTGGAAAAACAAAAGAAACTCTGGCAAATTTTCTAGAAATTGGCAGAATTTAGGTGAACTTTGGGAGAGCATATCTCCCTCCAAAGAGGTCCGATAGGGACGTTCCATACGCTGTTTTGAAGCTTGAGATGTCCCTTATCTCGTGTCAAAATTTGAGGAAATTCTGGGTTGGAAGCCGGCCTGTAAAAGGCAGAGAGAACGGACTTCCCATGTTGCCACTGCACATGTGGCAGATCTGGTGCGTGATTGAGAAAGTTATTCCCGCTTCGTTTCTTGGTAAAATTAGGTGTATGATATATCAAATTGAAGATTAAGGTGTCTAGTTTGTTGTATAAATATTTTAGAGCAATTGGTTGAGTGGACTTTCCACAATAATTGATTGAGTGAAGGATGTTGGAGCTGTTTTGGGTTGGCTGGCAGAATTGCTTGTCCAACTTCAAACGGCAATATCCGAAGCAAACGAGAACTTTATGACTCGTGTGATAACTTCCTAGAAAGGTAATTAAGTCTAGAATAACATACTAAAAGATGGGAGGCTTGTAGAATGCGGTGTCTCCGCAGAAATTTAAAGACCGAACCATGTTCGGATAGATAGAAAACGTACAAGTGATATTTTAGCTAAGTGGGTTTATGGGAACCCCTTAGTGACTTGAGAGATATAATATGTGTTACAAAAATAGTTTAAATAATAATTCCGCAAAGAGTTTACAGTTACGGTCACAAATTTTATTTATTACACTTTTTATTGTTTTAAATGCTCGCGTAATAAACAGAAAAAGTTTACTCGCATTTTTATAAATGAATTGCTGTGATTGTAACTGCGCTTAATATCATAATTAATGTTAATAATACTGGTACAGTTAGACCCTTAGTAACTGAGAGGTAGCTTATACATAACCCAGGAAAGTTTGGGAATAGTTGTGAAGGTTGCCAAATACCCATAAATTTGGTGGAAGTTTTTGTGATTGTAGCGGTTTATCAAGCACCCATTAAAGTTTGGTGGAATAGTGGAAAACTATTGAGCAAATTCAATCTGGACGTAGGTCACAAGTTGTGGTAACTAAACTAGGATAAATCTTATTTGCATTCTTCTTATCCTTTAACTATTTAATTTTAGCACTTTAAATACTTATTGAATATTTTGTTTGTGCTAGTATTAATTGTATATTTGTGATAGATTGTATGAGTGTGTCATCCTTATTTATCCTTTATCTCTTCTTATATCAAAGTTTGCATGGAGTTATAATTTAAAAACAAGAAGAGGACTTTTGCAAAAATCATGTCATACCCAATTCATCCCCGCTCGAGTATGGAACATATTCTTAACAGCTTCGCTGTCGTTTTGATTAACTAACATTATTGTTATTCGATATCGATTTTGACGTCATTTTTTATGTTGTATGGAGTTCTTTTATTCGTCATTTTTTTCTATAAGGGGAATTACGTGTCAATTTTAAGGATGTTTCACGTAAGATTAGAATGAAATAGTAAGATAGTAGTTAATTTTTTTTTTTGAATAAATTTAGGTAATTAACATATGATCCAAAATGTTCCTCTGTAATCGATAAGTTCAATATTTATAATCATGTTTCCCTTCCCTGGTTTAAAATTGTACAAACACATCAACATTCCACAAGATAATTTTTTATATGAAATTATCCTCTATTTATATTTATTTTATATGATAGACATGAATATAGTACCAAAGTATTATGGGAAAGGAAAGGTGATTGTCCTATTGCCCTAGATGAGTGAACATTATTTTGTTAAAGGGTTTAGCTTTTCTTATGTTGTAGGATTGTAGGATAGAAAAAAAGTAGAGAGAAGTTAAATGTGGGTCCCATATTTTATATTAAAAAAGAAAAGAAAAATTATTTGGCACGGAAAACGAATTTGTGTAGGAAAATGAGAGTATCTCATGTGGCATGAGAGTATTATTTCCCTTTGTTAAATATATAAAATGATATTTGAGAATGGAGTGGTTAAATAGTAATTAAGGTATCTATACGTTATGGTGGACCAATTTTGTCTTATCTTATTGACTCTTCGGAGGCTTGTGTAGGATATGATCAAGTGGACCGCATTTTTTTGAAAATATATAATCGCAAATTGGATGAGTTGCAATGCAACCTAATGAGCAAATAACGAGAACTATAATAAGTGAGAATTGACAACATATAAGAAGTTTGAGAGCTTAAAGTAAAAGGTTGAGAGTATGAGAAAAATATAAAGAAAAACTATTGCAGTAAAAGACTCCAACACCTTTCTGATCCCCACCTTTTAATCTTGATTAATATTTATATTTAATTACCCAATTGATCAAACAATTCACCATCTATAATTAATTAGTTAAGCCCTAATCCCTTAGTGATCTTAACCTTATTAACCCTATTAGAATCCTAATCCCTTAGAAATCCTTTTTCAAGTTAATCTTTTAGCCCAGTGAATTTTCCACATTTGCAGTTCCTGTAGCCTATTCCTAGTGCATACATGAACAGTTATCTTATCATTTGTCAGAAATTAGAATCCCAATATTCCTATTGAAAACTCTAACCCTCGCAATCCTACTAGAGTCGCGAATTCTAAAAGAATTATAGATGAAGAACAGTGTAAAATAAATTCAATTGAATAATTAACCATAAACTTAACCAAAATACAAGGGGTTCACATCAAGGGTTGTGACTCTTACCACAATATAAAAAAACTAGCCAGACATATTCATGTCTGACAATTCAAAGTATTGAAAAGAATTCATAAATAAATAAAAACCAGAAAATTGGAGAAGAAGCTTGCTCTGCGTTCTGCCTCCGTCAATCTCTCTATGTGCAAAAGTTTTCTTCTCTTGAGGTCTGAGTCTCTATTTATAGAGTCTTTGACCTGGTGTAGAATCTTGGTTAAATCCTTGTCGTAATCTCAGTGTGATCTGTCTCTAATTTAAAATAGATTTAATGCTGATAGACGCACCTCTCACGCCACTAGCGTGGTTCCCACGCTATGAGCGTGGGAGTTTTTCTTCAGAATCTTGGAGCTCCACGCAACTAGCGTGGTTTCCACGCTGCAAGCGTGGACTAATTGAGAGTCTGGCGCTACTAGCGTCAATGCCACGCTAGTAGCGTGGTAGCTTCTGCCTATTTTTGATCTCTGGCGCTACTAGCGTGACTCCCACGCTAGTAGCGTGGATGCCTCTGGCTGAAAAACTCCTTTCATGCTTTGAGCGTCATACCCACGCTGTGAGCGTGGGCCTTCAGTTTAGCTTTTTACTTTTTAGCTCTAGTTTGTTTGTTTTTCCTACGAAATCAACATAAAATCAGTATGCAATCTCTGATTAAGATTTTGACAGATCAACAGTGACTATTGCCCTTTTTGCTTAAGATTTAATCAACATTCTTTCTCTTTTTGGCTTAGATTTCCTTATATGCTGAATGCATATCATCTAAACCTGAACTGCAATCTAAGAACAACTTGCATTTTCCATGAAGATCCAAATACTATATCATATTTACAATATGCTATATCAAAAAGTTTACCCTTTCCTTGAAAACACACACAAACAGAGAGAAAGACGTAATCATAGAGACATTAGAAATGATTTAACACATGAAAGCCTGTTGAGTATCTTATACCAAAAGTGAGACAAAGTTTTATCCCAAACAAAGTCCAAGATGCATTGACATGATTCAATAGAGATAAAATACTTTGTTGCTGCTGTATTCATAACATGTTCTAACAAATATTTTGCAGCATCAGGCATTTTCCTGTGAGATCTCAGATATGCAACACTTTTCGGAGTAACCATTCCATGATTATGGTTGTCGATGAAATATGTAATTCTCCACATATTTGTTTTTTTATTCTTGGAAGCCTTGACACAAGCTTCACATCCTATACGTGACGATGATGATCTCCTTGACTTGACCTGACACAATTCACCCACATTTTCTTCCTTTTTAGGTAGTGGATAACCATCTCTAACACGTGTTAACTTCATGTAGTCCTCCCTGGATGTTCGTCTCCGAATTCCAAATCCTCTTATCCTACCATATGCTATCTATAAGTATACTATATCCTTCCATTCGAGAAATTCCATTCCTACCTCAATGGAACCATTAATATTCTCTGTCGGTGATAATGGAATGACACTTGACATATTGATAGGCAAGTCATTCAATAGGTCATCTTCCATTTCATCAAGTATATCGTTTCCTAGTCCATCGTATTCCATTTCATTTGACACACAATCATAATTGAAGTCAATATAATTAATTATATCATTTTCCATGCTGACCTTCATTGAAATAAACAAGTGATTATTATATAGACAACATCAATGGGATATAAAAAAATATAGCAGAAAGGGTACAACAATTATAAATGGTAATATATTAAGTCTAAGCATACAGTGCAATGATAAGGAACTTGTAGTCGAAAGTCACGACAATGATAAATGGTAGCAAAATAAAATTATCATCGAAATGATCTAATTATGCACCGGATGATAAGGTTGATGATTGAGAAAAGGTGAAAAATTAAGATCGGAATATGAAGGGGTAATCGCAGAACACTGGGGTTCAAAATTTTTGTTATGTTTTGGTTCAGGTTTATACTTAGAAACAATAAAATTTACTTTTTAAATCAAAATTAATGTAACTTGCATATATAATTATTTGATAAGGACGATGTTGCCTTGAGTAAGAAAAAAAAAGTAAGCTTAGAAATAAATTAATTGTATTCATGGACTCCTGCACTACTAGTCTGCAACTAGTTTCGTTAGGATGTAGAATTTCTTCTTATTTTATAATCCATTGTTCTAAAAAATAATATGTTAAGAATCTTTCTTTTATTTACTTGTCTCTTCCATGGTTTTATATTAGTTAAGAATCATATAATTACATAATAAATGATGGAAAATACAAGTCTCTGTAGTAGACTTGTTATCTCATGCTATAGACACAAAGCATGTGGGACTCACTCTTTAAAAAAAAAGTAAAAAAATAAATAAATGCTAGCACAACTTTTGATGTATGAGTAGGAAGGGTATGTTATCTCATGTAACATGGGAAAAACATACCCCATAAATGATTGAGATGAGATGGACAAGAAGTGTGTGTACCTTGGAAAGTTGAAGTTCAGAAGTAAACGCCAACTCTGATGTTAGGGTTCACATTCATGAAGAAGGAAAACAATGGAGGAACATCCGTATAGAATAATGGTGACAAAGGAAACTTAAAAATAAAAAAGCAACAATGTGTGGAAGCATAAGAGAAAAAAGATGAACATAGGAAAGGAATTTAGAGAGAGAGAGGTGAGTGTCGATTTGTGTAGTTGGCAGACCTAGAGAGAGAAGATGAGAGAGGATCAGGTATGAAAAAATTAGGATTATATTGAGGGATTATGAGCCATTAGATTTAAAATTAATCTAATGGTGATTAAGTTAGTAGTAACAGTAGTAAACATTTTGAGTAGTAACTATAACTCCTCCCTTAAACCAAATAGTAAAATTGATAAATCTTTATTGACATGATCTATACTAAATTAATTTATATATATAATGATAACTAATATTTTATCAAAATAATAACCGTAAGAGATCGAGTTGTAAATGTGAGAAATAAACTTTCAATTTCCAATTCAATTCATATGAACAAATCATAAATCAATAATTTGCTAAAATAATAGGGATATATTTTTCTTATGTTGTAGGAAAAAAATTACCTCATGTTGTAGAAATAAAAGTATAAATGGGACCCACAGGTAAGAGGAGAGAGAAAAAAGAATGGTGGGACTCAATCTCTTTTTGTGTGCGTAAGAAAGTTGTTTATCTCATGTAAAATGAGATAAACATAACCCAAAATAATATACACATATTAGTGGGGTAAGCTCACTCAGAATTGCAACATATCAATTCCAAGCTCTCCGCCTATAATATAGTGTGAACACAATATATAATCAAAACAATGTCATGTTCCTCAAGTCAATATACACCAAGGCTAACATTTATTATTGTTAGCTTACAGTATTTTTGACAAGTCGTTCCCCTAAAACTGATTTCAAAAACATAAACCGTAGTATATAGATTTGTTAAGGAAAAATTAATCATAGAAATATTCTCTTACATGATACATTAAATCATTTAACTCGTGTCATATCAACCATGTAAGTTATCATCTAGTGGTGTTGAATATAACTTTATTGATTTTTTTTTGCCGATGGAGTAATTCTAAGCAAAACAAGGGAAAATAATAGTAACAACAATAATAATATAAACAAATTTTTCAGTTTCAGCTATTGTTCCATATCATAACCATTTGTATGAGTTGCCATGTAGTGGTAGCGGGAGCTAGACTACATTAGCTACGTGTCCACACTAAGATGGAAAATGACAATAGAGGATTAGAGAGAGATGTTATTTCATTTGGACCACGAATGAGATCTCTAAATGAGGTTATTTCGTTTGCTATGTCTCATGTAGTTCAAATGCCAATATTTTTATGATAGGTTAGTGCTTTTGATTCAGGCAAATTAAGGGTAAAATGAACAAGTTAGTTCAAATTTTAATAGTATTACAGGTGGAGTTGGATAAGAAAAATCATAAGGGAAGTAAGTGATAAGAAAAACAATTATAGGGAGATAAGTGATAAAATAATAAATCATATAGGATTTTTTGAATTTTTCCCATCAAAATTTGATGGGGGATATAGTATATGCATAAAAAGCACGATTGTTGATTGGTTTATGAGATTATCAAATGGATAGAGTAATAAGATTATCAAATGTTTGCACATTTATGTTGTCCAATTCTATTTGGCAGTTTCTTCTATAGGCTATATTTATATCTTTATATTCTTATTGTAAGACACGAGGGATGTTACACAACAAACCCTTAAATAGTAATAAATAAGGGGAAATATATGTATTACCACTACAACAAAATTTCTGTTTAGCCACAACAAAAATCGTGGCAAAATATGATAAAAACCGTGGCTAAATGAGTTGTCCACTGTTTCAAAAACCGTGGCTAAAACAGGCGTTGCATTATTTTAACCACGGCATTTTTTGCATGTAAGCACGGGCAGTATGAGTGTGGTAACATTGAGTTAGCCACGGTTTATGTTATAATAGCCACGTTATATTCGTGGCTAAACGATTTTGATCCCAATGATGAAAATGCTTTATTTTTGCCACATACAGAACCGTGGCTAATTATGAGAAATTTTAAAAAAAAAAAAATTAAAATATTACAAATTTTTCCAATCATATAAAAAGCAAATAATAAAAATTGCATTTGATACAAGAAGCAAAAATCAAATTAAGGGAGATAATCAAGTAAAATGGAGTACACAACTTAACAGAATACATTTTTTTTTCTATTCATATGAGTAAATAAAGATAATCAAATAAGAAGCATGACGGATGGAATTGACCAGCAGTCAAGCAGCATCACACTTGTAAGTGTTGTGTATTGATACGCCTTCGGAACTATTCATTAATGAGAATTAGTTTGCAAATCATTGAAAGTAAGATCATTCAAATCTTCATTTTAATACATAGGAAGAGTCCAATGATAAATATAAAAGAAAGGAGAGTTACTCTTCAAGTAATTTAGACATGGATATTTAAATGTACTAATTTCACTAATGCTTTCTTTACTTAATACTATGTCTCTACCATCGTGAAACACTTACCAAGAAAATTTTCCTCCACATCAACCAACCGAAGAAGTATATAATAATACCATTTTGCCTGCGTTAGAACCATATATAGTTAATAAATTGTCTTTAAATATTTGACATTGAGGGAAAACAGAGTAAAAAAATAGAATAGTTGATCTTTTTGCAAGGCATCACTCCCACACTCTCTTCTTGAAGCAGAACTAAAATTATATAATCTCTTATGCTCAAAAAAACCAAAAAAATATATTATAAAATACATGACCAATGTTTTTATGGTTGAAAAAATATTAATGATTAAAATAAAATAAAAAATACCAGTTCATTTTGTTCAAAGGCAGTCCTTCCTGCTTTGCTGAGATCTCTCAGAGTTCCCTTCAAATCAATGAAGCAAAAAAATAAAGATCAGTCATTGGATATTATAAATAAGATTACCATAGGCAAGAAGGGAAGTGGGAACATGAAAATTTTTAAATTGATAATAAACTATTTCTGCATGGCCACAATAATTCATGTATGAAAAATAACCACCTTTCACACAATTCCAGGACAATAGTAATGAGTCGATAAGTAACCACTATAGATAAGATGTTTAACGGAAGAAACATTTCATTCTTCAGGTTGAAGCACAATGACAGTGCATACCATAAATAATATTCATCAAGTTGACACAAAAGCCCTATGTTGAAATCATAAACAGCTGAAGATACATATCACTTGTCTAGTTTGCCAACAGTTACACCGTAATACCTCTTATCAGTTTCCTGTCTTATATTCTTCATCTATGGTACAACATATAATGTAGTATTTATCATGAGTTACGATCTTAAAGACCCATCAAATGAGTCACAAATTTGGAATAGAAAGACATGAATAACGAACCACTAAAGAGAAATAACTTGGCAATATGAGCAGACATTCAAGGACAAAAAGGTTAAAAATATATATATTCTTTTTTTTACTAAAGTTTGATGACATTGCAGGGTACAACAGCTCCTGCGTTTCAACCATGTGTTCTAGTCGGTACAAAATAAAGCTACAAAAGAAATTATACAAAATTGGGACATGATTATACCGCATCGGATTCTGGAGGACAACACTTGCAACAATCAATAACAAGAAACATCATTCCACATTAAGCCAAAAAACTGATATCAATTACCTTATTTGCCCACATAAGCCCGCAGGCATTGCACAAAGATCTTGGACCAGCCGGACCTTGACGCATAGCTGGAGTAGACTTCTCACTAATTCCACAATGCTGGCATCTCCGTTCACTTAACAATGGCTGTGAATGGAGATGTTTGTAGAAAATGATATTATCTTCATAGTAACATCCTAAGACAACAAAAAGACAAGTAGTTGATAACTATAGTAATATAGAAAATGAATATAATTAGGAAATTTTAGTTAAAGTCGTGCTTCTACCTATTAAAAATATCAGATGTATGTGCTGCCACCAATAATCTTGGCATTTAACCAGGGGCGGATTCAGTGGGGGCTAGGGTGGGCTGCCCCCCTCCCCCCACCACACACACACACAAAACAAAAAATTTGAAGAAAAAAAATAGGTGGAAGGAGAATATAAAGAAAATGGTGTTATCCAAGAGGCATATGGTGGAAGACCATAGAAGTAACAGAAATCATTCTCTCTGTCTAAGAAACGTTAAACTTCATATGGGTTAAGGTCCAAGAACATTTTCTGTAAATATGACACACCCCCTTGAGTAAAAAACCACTTGACTTGAAATAGGAAAAACTGAAAAAAGTAAACTCATCCAATTCCCTGGCACTGAAGCTAAAACGCAGCCTTACCCTGAAAATTTAATAATAAAGGCGGCAAGGCACATTCCAATCCAATTCCCTAGCACTCAATGCTACATAATATACTATAATTCACTAAAGGGAACACCCAAAAAAAAAAAAAATAGAAAACAGAAAATCACTTACTTGAGATCATTCCAACCCACCACCAGGGTTCATAAAGGTATGCATGCCCTCCAGAGGTTGTTCAAATTGAATCAAAACAAATATAATAATTAAACAAATGACAATTCAATGCATTGTAATCTTTAAGTTCAAGACTTTTCAATAACCTAAATAAAAAGCATGTCAAAAACCAAAAACAAAAGAGGGGGTGAAGGGGGCAAAAAAGGGAAGAAGCATATAAGAGGAGATAAACCTGCACTTTTCCCAGTGGCACCAGCTTTTTTTAGCCCCATCTTTTTAATTATAAAGCTAGAGCCAATAAAAACGCTGGAAGAGACAGCCAGAACAAGCCCAGTTACATTGTCAGAGGAAATCCCCATATATCACAAGAATAAATATGATACCAAAAACTATTCTTCCGGTAAAACGAATCAATTCCAGGGCCAAGATGTCGAATCCAATGCCTTGACCTTAATTCATGGATTCAACAAAACATAAAAAGAAAGTCACATACATATCTCATAAACAAAAATTGGGTAAAAAGAAAAATTGAAGCGGAATAGAATGATTGCACAACCAGAAAGATATATATTATACAAATTCGTAGCTATATAAAGGAATGAATCCATGAAGGAATGTTTTATATAAAGCTATGATTTTACACTAGTTATTCTCTCCATTTTATGATTAGTCCAGGAATGTGGAAGCAAAAGAAAAGGAATGAATCCATGAAGGAAAAATATTGTAGTATGAGAAAATGATGGAAAATTAGCAGGGAGCTTATAGTGTTTGATTTTATCATAAATTTTTAAATTGTTAATGTTTTATATATAGTGTTTGATTTTATCATAACTGAGGAGTCTTCGCATTGCCTTAAAATATAGCCTTACTCACAATCAATGCCAGAATGCCTAAAAGGCATCCACAAATCTTCTCTGGTAAGATCTAACCTATGAAGGCAAAAGTGTTCTCTGGTATTTTACAAGCCTGCATAGAGTCTTAACTAATACAACTTATTTTTTAATTTTCATTTTTTATTCGATGATTTTTAATCTTTTTTACTTTGCATTCTTAGCAACAAACTGAAGTCATTTTTCTTGGAACTGTCATGACTTAAGAAACTTGTTAGTAAATAAGAGAGAGTAGCACTTATCAGGGGACAAAATATCCTCCGCTTAAGAAGAATAGTTGGTAATTAAGGGCAAAAAAAATGAAAAAGAAACCCAAACTGCCCTCCAATCATATTAAGCATCTGTAAAAGAGAAGCCTACTAAAGTAGCATTTGTATATTACCACAAAGATACCCTATAAACTGTCCAACCCAAAGCAAAGTTGGTGGTAACAAGTGCGAGTGAACAACACAAGCCTTTGAAAATCTCGTCTCTTTCATAATCAAGACATGGAGGGCCATTCTGCAAAGCCATAAGCATAGCTTCCATTCAGAAAAATAAGGACAAGAATTTAATTGAACTTATAAAAAAATGTAGAGAAGTGCTACCAATTGAAAAATAAAAATAGTAAAAGATAGAAACTCAGTAAAGACTAAGATACAAAAATTATGAAGATAAAAAAATTCACATAGCACCAAGCCCTTTTGTCACTTTTTCATAAACAACAAAAATAAGAAACTATATGTTTTTCCAGCTAAGAAATTTATTTATTTTTTACAAACACTTCCAAGCAAATATGCGTAAAAAAAAACATGACAGAAAAAAACAGAAAAATCATCAAATAAATTATACAGCCCTCACAAAACAGAATGGCAACAAAATTATCAGGTGAATAAACACATAAAAATTAACCTATGAAAATCATGTCAAACAAATAAAAAGTTCTTCACCTGCTTTGCCTTATAACCCAAGCGGCGAGCCTTGTGTGGGCGAGTAGGCCTTGTCAAATGAACAATAGAAGGTTGTTGACGATACTCCCAACACCTCACACGCTGCAAGAATCTCATCACATCAGATTGCTTCTTGCGCGAGAGCTCCGAAACATACTTGTAAGCTCCTATTGCAACATTAATCGACACAATAAGAACCATACTTCAGTGTTAAACTACAAAAATTCAAACCATAAAATAAAATAGGAAACATATTATGAAAATGATAAGGCATGGAATTGGAAACCATACCAAATGCTACCTTTATACTTGAGCGTGTAGGGACCACTCTCGTTTATAATTGAAAACATCAAAATGGCTATGAACTTCGTGCTTACACTGGCCACTCTGATCCACAAGCATGAGCTCAAACAACGCCCTCACATCGGTGCCTTCGGAATGCAAAATTCATGTGATGAGGAATGGGAAATGAATTCCTCGATCGGAATTGAAAACGAAATCTAAATCAAACAGTTAAGAGTTTGAAAGCCCAAACTTACTCATGATTGGTAAAATACTTGCAAATGGCGAAGAAGAGAAAGAGAGATAATGAGGCATGGTCACCATTTTGGCCAATGAAACATAGATCCAAACCCTAATAAAGAAAGAGAGAAATGAAGAAATTAGAATGAAATATAAATTAGAATCCGAGAGAAATTTATTAAATTGGCGAATGTGTGTCATAAGTAGAGTCTGAGACAGAGAAATTGAGAACGAAGAAAGAAAGCCGAGAGTTTGAGAGAAAAGAGCGAGACAAAAGGTGCTGTGGTGTTTGGAGATGCTACTTAAAATTTATTATTTTTAAGTTTTTTATAGCATATTAATTGACCGTGGTTAAAAAGTCCTGGTTAAAAGCCGTTTTTCTTGTAGTGTACCCTGCAACACAGTTTCTTAATTATATACTAAATATAGCACATAATTAAATTATTAAAGTTACTAATGTGAAGAAAAAAGAAAATATAACTTTAATATTATAACTATATACTATTGTTAATACATATATAAAAATAGTTACAGGATGTATGTACATGACATCTAACGGACCCATAAATAAGTCCATACAAAAAACATATGTGAAATACTGTCTCGAGGCATGGATTGCTGCCATAGTATCACTGGTCATATAAAAAAGTTAGAGTAGAGTTATATTGACAAATTTTTTTTTATAAATTTATAAATTATAGTATGTCTGATCCGTAATACTCTACTCAAGAATATATTACTGGTGAGATATAATATAATTTGTAAACAAAAAAAAATTATAAATATAATATTCCTCAAAAAGTAAAAGGATAATTCCATATCCACTTGACTCCATCACATGCTTTGACGCGATTGCTCATCAAGGGTCTTTTTCCTATTGATTGCTAACTTTATTAGTAAAATTACTTGGATATCCAAGACACATGTTCATCACATTTTCAATTTTTTTATATACCCAATTAAATAATTAGAGATAAACATAAACAATTGCGAGATATTTTATTATATTTAAATGTAGTATATTTTAATGGATTTTGAATTTAAATTTGAATCATGAGAATAGTTAAATTCATTTTAGGATTATGTTTTCCTCCTTTCACATGACACAAAGAATTTTTCTACATATATATAAAAGTGAGCCCATCAACTTTTTTAATTTTCTTTTGTTTAAAAAATGGTGAACCCCATGATTGATTGTCTTTATGACATGACCTAAGAATTTTTTCTACAACATGATATTTGTTTTTCTCTTTATTTTATTATGAAATGCGAGTCATTGCCACTTGTCAAAGGCCTCGTAATATAATATCCAATTGTTTTGGACCACATACCATTTTAAAAGGCCCATTCTAATTTTTTTTTTTACTTATGGGTCTCACACTCTTGTGAGAGCGTTTGACCCAGACCAAAACTTGAAGGGCATTCCCGCTGAATAATACATATTGCCATGACTATGACTAGGGGTGATAAGGGCTTTTTAGAGATCTTTCACTCAACTCGTAAATGCCTGAGCTTAAATGCCTTGGAATCAGACTTGGACTTGAATAAAAGCTCGTTTAATAAAAAAAGCATTAGGCTCCAGTTAAAAAGCTCGGTCTTAGAGCCTCTCAGGCTGGTCTAGTATATTAATTTTTATTTTTATTTTATATTTTTTTATACTACTTGTAATAACTTTCTCTCTCTTCTCACTCTATTTCATCTGATTTTATTAGTTAATCAATTTTTTTAAATGATTTAGTTCTATATTATGTTGTTTGAATATACATTGAATTTGTAAAATTACTAGTGTTGTTAAATATATATTCTGTTTAGATAAATTTTTGTTGTCTTATTTTTTTTAAACAAGCTAACAGGTTAAATCAGACTTTTATTTTTTTATAAATAAGTCAAGCCACAGGCCGATAATTATATTCATAACAGATAACAAACTTGATCAGATTGACACATTTAAACACACAGACTTAACCTTTTAAGACCAAAGTTCGGCTCGGCTCGATCCGTTAACACCCATGACTATGTGGCACGGTAACATTCATAAAGAGATATTCTTGCATAAACTTTAGTGCATATTTAGATTTGCTTAATTTTTAAGTAAAACTCTGTTTTTTTTTTTTTTCAAAATCTCTCTTATTAAAAATTTTTTGGCTTTGTTTTTCTCTTTTCACACGAGAAAATTTTTTCCTCCACACACATGTTTAAGATAAGTCTCACTATTAAGAAATTAAAATAAAAACAAAAAAATAAAGTGCACATATCAATATCGATGTATGAATGACATAAGAAATACTTTTCCGGAACAACGTAAGAAAATATTTTTCCATTTTTTTTTTATATAATTCTGTGTTAAAAGGGTTTGGACGATCATAAATACATATAAGTATGAGTTATTATTGTGGAGTAAATTTTTAAGCTCTCGATAAAGCGAAAAGAAAAAACAATTTAAAGAATATATAGAAATTTGTCTTTGGAATTGGAAGTAATTTGCTAGTTGGAAAAATTGTTGACAACTGATTAAGGAATTCCGCGCTGTGTATGTACTGAGAGGATCCACGGAGTAGAATTCTCAATTTTCCCATCCTTTCATTCTTTCTTTCTTTCTTTCATTCCTTCTATATATTTACCGAATGTACTGTGGAACACTTATTGGTAAAATGTTTCATCAGGCGGTTGGCCACCAGGCGCTTCTATATATTCTCGAGGAAGACCTTGATCGCCCCGCGCTATCTCTCACGAACAAGAACAAGGTAATTACACCAAAGTGCCTCTTTGTTTTTGTTCCTTCTGCTGTTTCTTCTTCGTCTTCTATTAGATTTCTTTATGTTTAAACTTGGTTATGGTTTTATCGAATGGTTTATTTAGTTCTATTTGGAATTGCATAATGGCATTTTCTCAGTTCGAAGACTTTGGGATGGGAAGTTTGGCCCATAATATTTGTGTTTGGAGCTTGTGAAACCGTAATTGTAAGAGAAAAATCATACTGGATATTCTGACTCTATCTTATTTGAATGAAAATGTTCTGCTTCTTAATTTCTTATACATAACATGCCAGAGGAATCAGAAATTTTATGAATTTTGTACTTTGTTTGGGGAAACTTGGAGAAATTGAAGATGGTAATGGAGTTTATTTTTATGTTGTATTTTAATTATGAAAAATTGGCACTTGTGAAAGCTTTGGAGTGAAATTATTTGTATTGGAAGAAAAAGTTTGTTCTTTCCAAGACAAGTTTCTAGTCAATGTTTTTAATTTCATTCCAAACAACAAACCTTCACTCTTTGTCACTAATTTTTTTGGTACCATATTATGTGTATTGAGTGAAGGCTTTTAATGGATCACAGTGTCACTAGTAGTTCTCTAGTATTGGTCTCCAAAATAAACTTTACACTAATAAGGTTAACTAAATTTGTTTCATTTATTGTTACCGTTATGAAACAACTCTTCAAGAAGGCAAATGATTGGTTTTATACTTGGATAATATCTCTAACACACCCCCTTATGTCCCCTTAGGAAAGAGTCAGCTAGGCTTAAAGTGTGGAAATGCATAGGCCTACTTGTTTAGTGTTTTTTTTCTTGTTTCATCAACAATTTATCTAAATTTGCGGGGTGTACTGTGAATTGCATCAGTTCCTCTGTCAGAATACAAGTTTGGATGTTTTCACCTGACTTCACTTGCCTCTATTTTGTTTGGTCCTAGTGCATTAATTGTTTGTGGTGTTTTATATTGTTTCTGTTGAGAATTATGTGTCATTCTCAGGCTTTTTGACTATTATGCCCCTGATTGTGTTAATATTATCACTATCCCCGTTTTTAAACTATTTAAGAAATTTAACCCTTTCCCTTAAACATAACACCAATTTCCTCTTGTTTGACCGTTGACTGGACATCATACTCAAGTACGTAACCAACATACTCAAGTAAACTTCGTGGGATGAGGCTGAATGTATACATCATGTGTTTCTACTCGAGTATGTGACCAGATACTCGAGTATGTCAATAGATACTCGAGTACCCGCGTCTTTGTTTAGATAATGGTTCAGATTCAGTGAGTTTAGGTGGCTTTCATGCTGTTGCATTATTATATAGAAATCCTGATTTGTCCAGTGAGACAGAGAACAATGATACTAAGTTGGGTTTTTGTCCTTGCTTCTTTGTACTAGAAAGCATACTGCATAACCTGGTGAGTAATCTTAGTCTAACATTTATGTTCATTGTTTGATTTCATATGATAAGAATTAGACCTATTTTTTTTTAGCAAAGGTTATTAGTTGATAATTGCATTGGCTACATACGTTATTCATAGTTACATACTGTCTAAGTTTCAGATGCTCAGAGCACATAGGCATTCACAATCACCTTTTTTTTTCCGTTTGATGTCATGAGAAGGGACGGTGCTGGTGGGATTAAGATAATAGAAATTTGTTGATTCTTTAAATCTCAAGAGAAAATGGGATGAATCTTATGGTTATCCAAGCGTGTGAGGTTATCTTGCGTTTGTTTAGTAAGATCTTTCTCTATGTATTCTTCAGCCTTTGTTTAGTAAGATCTGTACCCTATGTAACCCCTTTTTAAATTTGGAGTTATGCTAATTTTGTAATTCACAATTATCTAAGTGCATCCTTTTTTGCTTGTTTATCCATCCTTGTACATCAGATTATTGCAAGGACTGCAATGTTTGTCAGCAAACATTAGGCCCATCTGAAATTGTTGGGGGTGAAACAAGAAACAATCCAACATTTGGGTTCTTGATGCCTGATCATCATCTTCATGCTTACTTTAGGATTCTTCTTGTTCCTCAAGAAATTCTAAAAGCTGGCATTGATGATGGTAATACATCTGTGGACAAGAATAAAAGGCAGATGCTTGATCAAAACGGGTGGTGCATTGTCTTTCCTTGGATCTGTCTATAGATCTGGAGAGGATGAGGATGGTACTGTTGAGATATATAGTCCCACATTAGTTGTATGAGCCAACTAATGTGGAGTTTATAAGGCCTTGGGCACTCCCACCCTTTGAGCTAGCTTTTGAGGTGGTGTATCCCAAGGTTCTTTACATGGTATCAGAGCCTTGCCGCCCCCCACTTTCTCTTGTGGTGTTTCTTAGCACAGGTAGGCTGGGCCTGTTGCATTGTCCACCCTTCAAGTCCAATGGACTCTTGTGTGAGGGGGCGTGTTGAGATATATAGTCCCACATTGGTTGTATGAGCCAACTAA